GCCGGCCTCAGGGTGGCGTGGGGAGGGCACCGCCGGGGGGCCTAGCTACGGGATCGTGGGGCGTCCCGAGTGGAAGCTGACCCCAGTGGGAGAGATAACCTGAATGAAAATGGGGGCAGGGAGTGAGCATGCAAGGGGAGCGTATTCAGTAGGCGCAACATAAAAGCTTGTTGCTTCTTGGGATTAAAAAAAAAAAAATGGGGAGGATGTCCGGGATTGGAAAGAAGGTGGCGTGGCCTCAGCAGAGGCTGGATTGGGAGCCAGTAAGCAGGGCAGGTATTCTTTGTAAATTACAGTTAGGGGACTAGGGGACTGAGTTGAGGGGGTGACACTTTCTCCCTGAAGTTGTTGACTCAACAGGATGGCGTTCACATACTGGAGGGCAACGAGGGATAGGGGAGAGAGAGCCCTTTTGGCGTAGTGCTTCTACCCCAGTGTACTGCCATCTCTGTGTCCCAGACTAAAAACTTCGGGGTCCTAGCCTCTGCCACCTGTATTACCAGTCACGAAAGTACAGTAGATTCTGCCTCGGTATTGTGGCTGCAGGTTGCTCCTTTTCCTTTTCCCGTTGCCTCTGCGTTTGCTCAGATATTGATAGAATCTTTGGTGTGCACTGTTACCATGGGCTGCCTCCTAACTCTTTGACTTCTGTTTGGTTCTTGTCCCTTCTAATGCTTCTTCCTGGCAGTCAGTCACCTTACAGTAAACAAAAAGCTATTTTACCTTGCAGGACATAAATTCGATGGTCACTTTTGTGCTTGAAACCCCTCAGTATTTCTCCTTCAGTTTACTTATTCAGTAGTAAATATTTTGCCACCTATATGATAGACATTGGCATTTCAGACATTTCAGACATAAATAGGATGGTACAATGCAGTAGTTGTTCCATGCACGTATCTAATAATTGTAAATACGATTACAGTATGCACTTGGTTCCCATAAAATATATACAGCCTTTAGATATTAATGTAACTATCAACTAAATCTAGAGAGACACAGATTAGTTGCTGTAGAATATAGTTACAGAGCTAAATAGGACAATCTCGTACCTCTCCAAAATGTGACATTTGATGTGGCACCTTACTCTAGACTGAGGTAAGCATTAGGGTTCATTGATAAGACAAGATTCTATAGTGCTATATAATGTTATTAATAGTAGTAACCGTTTGGTTGTGGACTGTGATCTGAGTCTAAGTATTAGTGATGAACATTGTGTATGAAAAGCTAGGATTTGCATAACCGAAGTAGGTTAACTGACTTCATGATTGAGGGGTTTTGTTTGTTTAATTATAGGTCTTGGGCTGGAGGGTTGTTTCAAGTATTGTTTGGTCAGTGCTGCTTCTACCCATCTGTACCACAATATTTATAATCTTCAGCAGCATTGATATATTTCATCCTATACAGTGGCTGACAGGTAAGTGATACTCAATTTGGGAAAAATACATTTACAAGATCTATTTCTCATCATAAAAATTGCATTATGTTTCAAATTTATTTTTTTTATTTTTTATTTTTTGAGTTGAAGTCTCACTCTGTCACCCAGGCGGGAGTGCAGTGGCACGCTCCCGGCCACTGCCGCAGCCTCGACCTGCTGGACTCCAGCGATCCTTCCACCTCAGCCTTCCAAGTAGCTGGAACTACAGACGCATGCTACACACCCGGTTAATTTTTTTGATTTATTGTAGAGATGAGGTCTCATCAAGTTGCCGGGGTGGGTCTCAAACCTGCTGGCTCAGGCAGTCTATTTGCCTCGGCCTCTCAAAGTGCTGGGATTACAGGCTGAGCCACTGAGCCCGGCCTCAAATTTATTTTTAACTACTTCCTGTATTGACATATAAAAACATTCACTTGGAGATAATTTTTTTTTCTGAGCCAGAGTCTCACTCTGTCCCGCAGGCTGGAGTGCAGTGGCACACTCATGACCACCACACTCTCGACCTGCTGGGTTCAGGCGATCCTTTTGCCTTAGCCTTCCAAGTAATTTTTCTTGATTCATTGTAGTGATGAGGTCTTGCCACATTGCCCAGGCTGGTCTCGAACCCCTGGGCTCAGGTAGTCCTCTCGCCTCCACCTCCCAAAGTGCTAGAATTATAGGCATGAACCACCACGCCTGGTCTTGAGATAATTTAAAAACATTCTCTCCATAACATAAACATCTTTTTTATGATATGATGAGATTAGGCTGGTGCTAAGTACCTTCTGTGTATTACCTCTTATCCTCCCTCTAATCCTGTAAAATAAAGAGGTATTATTTCTACTTAAATGAGGAAACTGAGATTCAGCTTAGTCTATAAGGAGACACATAGCTAGTAAGTAACTGAACTAGTATTTGAACATTAGTCTCTGACTTTAAACCCTGTGTTTTTTCCACTGTGCCATATTAGAATTAGAAAAATAAAAAGAGATACATGTTGCTTAAAAGAGAATGGGCTTTGAAGTCTTTAAATTCTTGTCTAGGCTAAGAAGGTTAATTACTCTTGAAATCCTCTTCTCTTCCTCCTAACAATGATAATACATTTCTTTTGCTTTGCAAAGTGCAAAGTGAATTTCTAATTGCATTTTTCACAAGAAAATGTCAATTTGCAAGGAGTTAGAATCTTGACCTTATAGCCTTTGGAGACCTTGCTGCTAAAGGATTAAAGTCATATGACTTTTTTGTTGCTATATGTCCATCACATCTTGGGTGGGTCCCACAGGTTGGTTGAAATGAAGCCATAAGCTAGTGCAGGGACAGCAGGTATCTCTGTAGCCACCTTGCCTGCCTCTGTGTCACTCACTGACTCTGGCTATCTCATCACAACCTAATAATACTCAGTATTCTAGAGCAATTGCTCAATTGTTCAGAATTGGTGTCAGAGATAAAAACTTTTGTCATTTCTTGGCCAGGGGTTCTTTTTTTTTTTGAGTTGGAGTCTCACTCTGTTGCCCAGACTGGAGTGCAGTGGCACGCTCTCGGCCACCGCAACCTCGACCAACTGGGCTCCGGCGATCCTTCCACCTCAGCCTTCCAAGTAGCTGGAACTATAAGCGCCCGCTACCACTCCTGGCTAATTTTTTGATTTATTGCAGAGATGAGGTCTCGCCAAGTTGCCCAGGCGGGTCTTGAATCCACGGGCTCAGGCAATCCACTCACCTCGGCCTCCTAAAGCGTGGAATTACAGGCTGAGCCACCGAGCCCGGCCGGCCAGGGATTCTTTAAACCTAATAACACTTTCTTTCCAGATTAAATTTGATATGCCCTTTTTTTCACTGGAAGTTACTTGTCCTCTTCAACTTTTGATTCACAAAGTCTTTTTGGAGAAATTGAACTCTTCTTACGTAATTCCAGTCACTTGAATTGTTTTTTTCATTCTTTTGACTCAGTGTAATGCTTGTTTTTTTGTTTGTTTTTTTGAGTTGGGGGTCTCACTTTGTTGCCTGGGCTTTGGAGTGTAGTGGTACCATCATGGCTCGCTGTAGCCTTGACCTTCTGGGCTTAGGTGATCCTTCTCAGCCTCTCCAGGAACACTCCATCATGCCGTTAGTTTTTGTGAATTTTTGTAGAAATGCGGTCTTGCCATGTTGTCCAAGCTGGTCTCGAACTCCTGGACTCAAACAATTCTCATGCCTTGGCTTCCTAAAGTGCTGGGATTACAGGTGTGAGCCACTGCGCCTGGCCAATGCTTGGGTTTAACTGGGTACTTAGTAAATATTCTTCATTAATTCACTGGTCAATGAATTGTACTTTTAAAATAGTTGTTTTCATTATTAAAGCTTAGTCTATTAAACAAACGTATGGCTGGGCCTGGTGGCTCAGCCTGTAATCCCAGCACTTTGGGAGGCCGAGGTGAGTGGATTGCCTGAGCCTGCAGGTTTGAGACCAGCCTGGGCAACTTAGTGAGACTTCGTCTCTATAATAAATAAAAAATTACTGGGTGTGGTAGCGCTCGCCTGTAGTTCTGGCTACGTGGAAGGCTGAGGCAGAAGGATCACCGGAGCCCAGCAGGTTGAGGCTGGAGTGGCCATGAGTGTGCCACTGTACTCCAGCTTGGGTGACAGAGTGAGATTCCAATTAAAAAAAAAAAACAAAACAGCCAGGCTCGGTGGCTCAGCCTGTAATCCCACGCCTTTGGGAGGCTGAGGTGAGTGGATTGCCTGAGTCCGCGGGTTCGAGACCCGCCTGGGCAAGTTGGCGAGACCTCATCTCTACAATAAATCAAAATGAGCCGGGCATGGTAGCGCGCGTCTATAGTTCCAGCTACTTGGAAGGCTGAGGTGGAAGGATCGCTGGAGCCCAGCAGGTCAAGGCTGCGGTGGCCGCTCCTGGCCACTGCACTCCAGTCTGGGTGACAGAGTGAGACTCCAACTCAAAAAAAAAAAACAAAAACATTATTCTTGTTTTTATTTCTTTTGTTCATGTCTTTGGACATTACACCTATATATTTTAACCTTTGAAATGGAATAGTGATTGTGAAACTACTCTAAAATGTGAAGGTATTAGCATTTCATGGGAGCATCGTGGTTTTTTGTTTTTTTTAGTTCAGTTCTTAGAGGTGGTTTCTGGAGTATCCTGTTTCCAACCATGTTCCTTTGACTTTAGCTGTAGGAGCTAATTGCATTTATTAAGAAGAGATCTGAAAAATATGATTTACATTTAAAAAAGAAATTGTATTGGTATATTACTAAATAGGGTATTTCTCTTTCATATAATGAAATGTTTACATATGGTAGTTTTCTCCTGATGTTAACTGGGTCATTTAAAATAAATTCTAGTATAATTTTAAAGTACCTAGAGCCAGGTCTAAATAACTCACACTGTAGCTCTTGAGTTGATAATCTCATTGAACCTGTCATAGGTGTACAATTAAATTCTTGAAGAAAATACAATTTCTAACTTTAAAATTATAGTGGTTCAGCCGGGCTCGGTGGCTCAGCCTGTAATCCCAGCACTTTGGGAGGCTGAGGTGAGTGGATTGCCTGAACCCGCGGGTTTGAGACCCACCTGGGCAACTTGGTGAGACCTCATCTCTACAATAAAATCAAAAATTAGCTGGGCGTGGTAGCATGCGCCTGTAGTTCCAGCTACTTGGAAGGCTTAGGCGGAAGGATCGGCGGAGCCCAGCAGGTCGAGGCTGCGGTGGCCGGAAGCGGCCACTGCACTCCAGTCTGGGTGACAGAGTGAGACTCCAACTCAAAAAAAAAAAAAAAAAAATTATAGTGGTTCAAACTCTGTTTACTATTGCAGCATACCGAACATGAGTACATGACTGAATAACCTTTACTAATTCATTTTTCTTGTGTTTTAGATTCTTTTAATGATCTATATAGTTCCTATGTAATCTTTTACCTCTTGCTGCTGTCAGTGGTTATTATAATAACAAGTATTTTCAATGTGGAGTTCTATGCAGGTGAGTCTTCAAATATTGATCATCTTAGTTAATCTGAATGTATTTAACTAAGGACAGACTCTGTGCACTTTGTATGTGAATGTGTATAACATAGTGTTTTTGTGTCAGATTTTAAAAATGTATACAGAATCATGTGCTTTGAATGTTGTATCGTAAAATGTGTTTGGGTACTATTTTCTCTGTTTTTAAATTATATTTAGACCTTTTAGGACAAATGTGTGATTCTATTTATATGAGGTACCTAGAGTGGTCAGATTCATAGAGATGGAGAGTAGAATGCTGGTTACCAGAGGCTGGCTGGGGTGGGGGGCAGGTTATGGGAAGTGTTATTTAATGGGTAGAGTTTCAGTTGGGGAAGATGGAAAAGTTCACAGGTGGTGGTAATGGCTGCAACAGTGTGATTGAACTTATGCCATAGGTCTAGATGGTTAAAAATGCTTCGAATAGTATATTTTATTAATGTATTTTTTATCACAATTAAGAAAATTCAGACTTTTTAATAATTCACAGCTAGCGATAAAGCTATGATTTAGCATATATATTATAAAAGTAATTTCTTCATAGGGAAGACCAGTTAATTTCAAAGGTCTTTTAAAACATAAAAGTCTATAATTCTATCATTTTCCAAAGAAACTTAACAATGTTATATTTTGCCTTGGGAGAATCACCTGCGGGACTCCAGAACTTTTTATTTTTCTCATTCTCTTTCTGCCTTTTCAGATTTCTTGAGTCTGTCCTTAAGATACAATAAGGAGCTTTTTCTAATACTTCTTTTTTTGACTATAATGTCATTCCCCTTAAGCTCTTCAGTACTTCCTTGTAAAATATGGTGTAAGATTTCCTGACTGGATATTATAATACATATCCTTTTCCTTTGCTTCCCTAACTCCTCAGTACTGGTGGGTCTCTTTTCCATTTAAGTACTATTCAGAACTCCTTGGCTTGTAAAGCCACACTTACATTTTTTCACACTCTCCCATTCCCCCATGTGCTTGTCTAGGTGAGTGCTTTCTAGCCAGTCATTTGTAAAGCTTGACCAGTCACTTTGGCTCATTCCTTCAGCAAGCTTTCCTTATGCGTTTACTGTGCCACGCATTGTACGGGGATAAGGAGTAAAGGATATGTATGGTCCCAGCTTTCTCCAGAGGATCATGATGAATGGGGAGACACAGTAAACATTAAGCGTATTTGATTACATCGCATTGCACAGTGTAGAGTGTACAGGAGCACTGCTTACCCAGCATGGGGAACTTCCTGAAGGAGGTGGTTTTTTGTTTTATTTTGTTTTAATTGAAAGGACAGAAAAGCTCCCACAGTGCGAGGGGACCTGGAGGGGTTGCTGGAGATGATGCTTAGACCAGGCCTTGAAGGATGAGTTGTATTAAGTAGATGAATAAGGAAATGATGTTCTAGAGAAGGAAGAGCCTAAAAAAAGTTTTAGTGACATGAGAGGTTTTGATATATTCAGAGTATTGTGTTGGTTGCATAGTCGTTAGGACTTTGTGGGCATTTCTGGTAAGGAGGGAAATGTGATCGCAGCCTCTTCTCCAAAATGTGATGCACCTAAGCTCTCTCCCTTCACCCTTAATTGTTTACCTCCCCTCAGTCTCTTTACTTTGAGTATATTAAAAGAAGAATACCTGCATAGATAGGTCAGGGACCCCTGGGTTAGCTGTTTTCAAAGGTAAACGTCCATCACCTCCCACCCACACTTGCCTCCCTAGCTCACTTCCAGAAAATGTATTTGGATTGCCACAAAGGTATTAAAAAGCCCCACAGAAGCATTTATCTTAGCATTTAGTGTTTTTGTGGTTTTTTTTTTTTTGAATTAGAGTCTCACTCCATTGCCCAGGCTGGAGGGCAGTGGCACACTTCAGGCCACCGCAGCCTCAATCCATTGGGCTCAGGCGATCCTTCCACCTCAGCCTTCTAAGTAGCTGGAACTACAAGTGTGTGCCACCACATCTGGCCAATTTTTTTATTTATTGTAGAGATGCAGTCTCGCCAATTTGCCCAGCTGATCTCAAACCTGTGGGCTCAGGCAATCCTCTTGCCTTTGCCTGCCAAATTGCTGGGATTATTATAGGCATGAGCTACCATGCCTGGCCCAGTGTTGTTAATATATACCTACTTTGTGGTTTATTTTTCACAGATGGATTATATATTGACAGTTTAAATGCTGAAATAAAGAACTTGCTGGGTGGCAGGAGCTTTCTTTTAAAAAGTATTCTTTTGTGGTGTTTAGGAGCGTACCAGTGTAGGCACTTTTTGATCCGTTAGGAAATTTTAATTAATGAAAAATGTTAATCTTGCTATCCTTAGCTTTCATCTCTCTGGATTCCTTGGCTTTTCTTTTTTGTGTGTTCATCTGTTTTCATTCTTTTATCAAAAATTTTTAACTTAGAATTTTTAACTTAAACTGTTTCTGTACTGTGTTTTACGTTGGCTGTGTGTTTCTTTCTGACACAGAGTGTTTGTGGAAGGATGAGAGGGAATAGTTTAGATTCTGTAACTTTGGGCGCTGCAGGTGATAAAGCCACAGTCGTGTGTTCTCTTTGCAGTTGTGCCTTCCGTCCCCTGCTCCAGACTAGCGCTGATAGGGAGGATCATTCATCCCCAGCAGCTCATGCACTCGTGTATTCACGCAGCAATGGGAATGGTGATGGCTTGGTGTGCTGCAGTGATGACCAAGGGCCAGTACAGTTTCCTCGTGGTGCCCTGCACTGCTACCGAAAGGTAATATCACATTTGTTTTTTTCTAAGGAAACTTTTTTAGTTACTAAGCCAAAGGTGAACTATATAGATGAATACTTTACGGTCATTCTTTGCTTTCCACACTTGTATAGAAGGTTTTTTTTGGTTACATCCAGTGTTTTTGATGTTTTATGTTTGTTCAATTAACAGTCTTTAGAAACCATTTGCTATGTACAAGATGCTGTACCAGGTGCTGTTGGATTTCTGAGAGTGATTCAAACATAGACTATGAGCTCCTTTAGAGTTCAGAACAACAGGGAAATTAAGACATGGACATGGATGTATAGGAAGAAGAAAGAGACGTGCAGGTAAAACCTGTGGAGTTCAGAAAGCATGGAGGGTCCATGTGTTCTTGGAGGAGGCAGCATTTAGGTTGGAGTAGCATGGAAAGAATGAAGAACATTTTAAAAATAACTATAACTACCTTGTTCTTTAGAGTTATTTATAATTTTGAAACATACAGTTCTTGAGTACATGACATTGATATAAGATTGCAGGTTGATATTCTGACTTAAAAATAAAAAAAGATGACTGGAAACCGGATGTGGTGGCATGCGCCAAAAAGCTACTCAGAAGGGCGGAGGCAGGAAACTGATTTAGTCCAGGAGTTCGAGGTTTCAGTGCACTAAGATTGTGCTTGTGAATAGCCACTGTGCTTCAGCCTGGGCAGCATAGCTAGACCTTGTCTATCTAAAAAAAAAAAAAAAAAAGATTGCTAGAGTAATCTTGAGTCAAGGTCTCACTCTGTTGCCCAGGTTAGAGTGCAGGGGTACTATCATGGCTCACTGCAGCTCGACCTCCTGGGATCAGACAGTCCTTCTGCCTCAGCCTCCCGAGTAGCTGGGTCTGTAGGTGTACTACAGGGATGTGCCACTGTGCCTGGATACTTGTTTTATTTTTTTGTAGAAATGAAGCCTCACTATGTTACCCACGCTGGTCTCGAACTCCTGGCCTGATGTGATCCTCTCACCTTGACCTCTCAAAGTGCTGAGATTATACTGGAGTAATTTTAAGTTTCCTATTTCCTAAATGATTACTGCTGAATACTTGATTTCCTTTTGGCCCCCAGCTACTATTATATAAGGCAGGTTTTTTTCCCCTAATGTAAATACGTTTTCTTTAGTGAAAACTATCCTGTTGACAAACACTAAATGATAAAGGACATCTGTGACTATAGGACTACTTTGAATAAGGAAATCCCAACTGCCTGCTTTGGATGAGACTTGAATTCTTTTTGCATCTCTCTCCTTAGTGGATGTGGCAGTGAAGCTCCAGGGAGCAGAAGGCAGCAGTAAGCTGCAAGTTGTTAAAGAGATTAGTGCCTACTAGAAATACATTTACTGATCACTTCACAGTCTGAGTCTTTAGCAAAACTCATCTCTTTTCATTGTCTTGTAACTTGGGGTCCAGAAAACCAGAATCTCTCTTCTGGTGGAGATAGATGGTGGGACAGGCCCACAACCTGTACTCATTTGTGAAAAATTGACTTCTATTGAATTATGGTGTGTTGGCTCCATACATTCCCAGACATTTGCAAGATTATAGAGATTCTCAGGAAACTCTCAAAGGAGTTTAAGAGCTTGACGTTCACCAAATGGTTACAATCTTATGCTTTCAATGAAAAAATATTGTAAGATAAAGATGATAGGTAGTGGCTTATGACAGTCCCCACAAGGGATCCCCTTGGATTTAACTAAATAATCAGAACTTACAGCCATAGCTTGTCAGCTATGGAGTTCCTCTTCAGCAGGAGTCTTCCAAGCAGCTCAGACAGGTGATAACTCCACAGCCATCTGGGAGCTGCATTCATGCTTGTGATACAGGTCAGGTCCAAGAAGAGATCAACATCAGACATGTATGGGCTCCCTAGTGTAAAGGTCTTGGGCCCCGCAGGGTCCCTATCTCTTGTGGCAACTTTATAGGCATACCATCCCGGGGCTTCATGAGGGACTACCCAGGTGTAGAAGACAACACAGAGAAGCTCAGAGTTAGGGCATCTCTGGAAAATATATATAATTTATTTATGGTTCCTCTCATCCAGATGCAGCCTACCAACTTGTAAACAGCATTGCTTACTATCATAGTAGATATTCTTACCCATATCAGGTTTCCAGAGGAACAGAACTAGAGTTAATTAAAGGTCACATTCTTATGCTTCAGGGAAAAGGTTTTTGTTCATCTTGGTCACACTTACCTAAAACGAGAATCTGGTTAGAATTTGGGGCACTTTTTAAGTGATCAAGTCAGAGCTTTGCCTGCAGTAAATATTGAGCCTAAAACAGTGGTATATGTTACTAAGTAATAATCTAACTTTTTCCCCTCAGCTTAGATAGTCCTGCTGCACAAAACTGCTTAAATGAATATCATCTATTTTTCCTACTGGCTGGAGCATTTATGGGCTATAGCTATAGCCTCCTGTATTTTGTTAACAACATGAATTATCTTCCATTTCCCATCATACAGGTAAGATATCATTTGAGCATTACCTTATGCCAGAATTTGGTAGAGTTAAAATTGCCTTGGTGTTTATATATATAACTGGCCTCATCCGATGAATTCAAGATTTGATAAGCAAAACTTAGAACTGAGGCTTTCAGAATGCCATTTGGAGAGATTTGTCTTCATGAGATTTTTGATTTTTTTTTTTTTTTTTGAGTTGGAGTCACTCCATCACCCAGGCTGGAGTGCAGTGGCATGCTCAATGGCCACCTCAGCATCGACTTGCTGGGCTCAGGTGATCCTTCTGCCTCAGCCTTCCTAGTAGCTGGAACTACAGGCATGTGCTACCGTGCCTGGCTAATTTTTGATTTTATTGTAGAGACGAGGTCTCGCCAAGTTGGCTGGGCTGGTCTCAAACCCACAGGCTCAGACAATCCACTCGCCTTGGCCTCCCAAAGTGCTGAGATTATAGGCTGAGCCACCGAGCCTGGCTGGATTTTAGTATATTTTTGAGAGTCGTAGCTACCTTTTTCTGCTGCCATTCTCAGAATTATACTTTGCTGTGGCAAAGAGCTGTGGTAGTTGCTGTGACTTAGCAGGGCTAGAGGAGGATGATGATGGCATTCATGCAAAGTACCTCTGTGCAGCTGCTGGCTTCTTTTTGAACTTAACCTCATGAGCTCGGGGGTGTGCAAGTAATTTTAGAATATGTCAGTTACTGTCTCACATCCTTTTCAGAACAAGGCAAAGCGTGTACGAATAAAATCAACTTGGTTTGAGTGGTATAGTATAAGCTATCTTTCAGTTAGATTTTACAAAATCTGCTCTGGTAGAGGCTGTTCCTAGAATTCAGTCACTCCTCTGACAACAGAAAGAAGAATTGGTGGATATGCATCAGGGTTCTTCCCAGCCTGTTTCCACTATTCCTGATTGCACTATTATTTGCTTCATTTGGTTTAGAACCAGGACCCTTCCCATAGGACCCACTCTGGTGGTGAGGGAGGGATGTGTAAACAAATGATGTGTCATTGTTAGAGTGTAATATATAAGAATGTGATGGATTAACTAAAGTTTTCACACGCCTATTGCATCCATGAGAACAAGCTGATGGAAGTAGACATACTGCAGGGAAATAGTGCTCACTGGAAAGGATCTGGCCTTACCTCCTTGCAATCTGTGAATGTATTTTTTAAAAAGTCCTGTTGAGTAATTCTTTACATCTGGTGAAGATGAATTAAAATCAGCAAAGTCTACTTTGCTACCTCAAAATTTCACAAAAAGCAAAACTCCAAGCTCCAGTCTAATGCAGAAATATTCATGATAAATCATCTTTGATCCAAGGATAATTAAAAATAGAAATAATAAAGAAAAGAAAGCATTAGAGAAAAACGAGATACCCCAAAATACTTTGCTAGACCTCCATGGACTTCAGGTAAAAATTACCATCTATTTAAAATCACAGGCTGGGCTCGGTGGCTCAGCCTGTAATCCCAGCACTTTGGGAGGCTGAGGTGACTGGACTGTCTGAACCTGTGGGTTCGAGACCAGTCCAGGCAACTTGGCAAGACCTCAACTTTACAATAAATCAAAAATTATCTGGGTGTGATAGTGCGTGCCTGTAGTTCCAACTCCTTGGAAGGCTGAAGCGAAAGGATCGTCTGAGCCCAGCAGGTCGATGCTGGGGTAGCCATGAGTGTGCCACTGCACTCTAGTCTGGGTGACAGAGTGAGACTCCCAGTCAAAAAATAAAATAAGATAAAATCACAGATGTGCAATAGAGTAAACATAGTAGTCCAATAGTTGACAAGTCTGATAAAATTACAAGGGACACCCCAAAAAACCTGGAATTTATTTATAAAAAAGTGATTACATATTTATTCTTACATGTTTAAACTTCAGTCACCTTCAAAGTACTCTGTTTAATGCAATACACCTATCGAGACACTTTTTCTACTGCTCAACAGTTTGAGCCTCTCAGTTTTGATGCCTTTTAGTGCTTCTGCTGTTTTTTGTTTCACTTTTTCCACATTGACAAACATTGCCTTTTGAAGACTTTCTTCATCGGGGAAACAACAAAAAAAATATCCCTTGGTGAGATCTGATGAATAGGGAGGGTAGGATATGGGGGCCATGCCATTTTTGGTCAAAAACTGCTGACCACTCAGCACAGCGTGGGCAGGTATGCTAGTAAATCATCCATCATGAAATGGGCATTGGAAGAATCTCCAAAAAAAATGCACTGAAGCCAGAACAACACTAGCTGATATACTGATGCTGATGGGTTCCTAGAACACGTACCTAGTTTGGGAAAGCCTATGCTGCAAGGAGTCTGCCCTCCAAAAATAAAAAAAGATAATTTGGGTTTTTTTTGGTCTCTCCTCATATTGTCCCTAACATACATTGTCAACTGTGTAACATTTTAGTACTCAATTTTTGGTAATTTCTTTTTTTTTGAGTCAAGATCTCACTCTGTTGCCCAGGCTGTAGTGCAGTAGCATAATCATGGCACACCATAGTCTCGACCTCCTGGTCTTAGGTGATCCATCTGCCTCAGTCTCCTGAGTAGATGGGACTACGAGTTACGTGCCACCATGCCCAGGAGTTCAAGATATCCTAGGCAACATAGTAAGACGTCTCTACAGAAAAACAAAAAAAATAGCTGAGTGTCTTGGCCTGTACCTGTAGTTCCTGCCATTCAAGGGGCTAAGGTAGAAGGATTACCTTGCCCAGTAGGTCAAGGCTGGGTGAGCTGTGATCATGCCACTGTACTCCAGCCTGGGGACAGAGTGAGACCTGACTGAAAAATACATACATACATACATAAATGGCTTTATAGTCTACATTCAGTAACTACTTTTGTAACTACTTTTTTCATGTAACCTGTGAAAAATTAGTTTTTTTTTTAAAAATCTGATTTTAACCAGTTTGCCATTAGCTCATTTTTTTCTTTAAACTTATTTATATTACTAAAACCAGTTCCGCTGCCCTTATTAAATTCTTTTTTTGAGTTGGAGTCTCACTCTGTCACTCAGGCTGGAGTGTAGTGGCATGCTCACGGCCACCCCAGCATCAACCTGCTGGGTTCAGGTGATCTTTCCGCCTCAGTCTTCCAAGTAGCTGGAACTACAGGCATGTGCTACTACGCCCGGCTAATTTTTTTTTTTTTTTGAGTTGGAGTCTCACTCTGTCACTCAGGCTGGAGTGTAGTGGCATGCTCACGGCCACCCCAGCATCAACCTGCTGGGTTCAGGTGATCTTTCCGCCTCAGTCTTCCAAGTAGCTGGAACTACAGGCATGTGCTACTACGCCCGGCTAATTTTTTTTTTTTTTTGAGTTGGAGTCTCACTCTGTCGCCCAGACTGGAGTACAGTGGCCGCTCCCGGCCACTACAGCCTCAACCTGCTAGACTCTGGTGATCCTTCCACCTCAGCCTTCCAAGTAGCTGGAACTACAGGCGCACACTACTACGCCCAGCTAATTTTTGATTTATTGTAGAGATGAGGTCTCACCAAGTTGCCCAGGCGGGTCTTGAACCCGCGGGCTCAGGCAATCCACTCACCTCAGCCTCCCAAGGCTCGGGATTACAGGCTGAGCCACTGAGCCCGGCTAATTTTTTTTTTTTTTTTTATTGTAGAGATGAGGTTTTGCCAAGTTGCCCAAACTAGTCTTGAACCTGCAGGCTTAGGCAGTTCACTTGCCTCGGCCTCCCAAAGTGCTAGGATTACAGACTGAGCCTGGCCCCTTATTAAAAGCTTAATGATAGACTGATAGGGAAAAGAAGAATGTTAGAATGGAGTAGGACACAAAGAAGTGGGCTTCAAGACAGGGCTTGGCAAATTCTGTGCCAACAAGAACTGTTAAAGTGAGATTTATAGAGCACTTAGCATGGTACCTGGTGTATAGTAAATATATATACTATATGCCAGGCACCATAATTGGAGAGAAGTATATATGCATATATTTATATATGCATATATATTTCTCTCTATATATGCATATATATATTTCTCTCTATATGCATATATATATTTCTATATATATATGCATATATATTTCTCTCCAATCTCATGGCATACATTATCATGGTAAATGTTTAGTGGTTCATAGCCAAGTCACAGAAGAAATTGAAAACACTTCAGCCTGGGAGCAAGAGGAGGGGAAATGGTATTTTCTGCATAGCTCCTGAAATGTCTCCCTACTTCCCTGGCTTCTCTGTACCCCTGTGAACAGCAGTGAGAGCTGCAGGAAGAACAGTATAGGAACTGTGCCCTTTTTCTCGAGAGTCTGTGTGGTGGTGGTAGCACCTAGTGACTGTACAGAATGGTGTGATTCTGCATCTTGCACTTTGAAAATAATTGAGTAAACCAACATAATCAAAGCTGTACTGTTAATGACCATGTGTTTATATGGGCTACTTTTAGTAAGATACTGTAGGCATCTGCAGGCATGAAAGAAGATATAACTTCCTAATACTATAATTCTTTGCTGTTCTTTAGCTTCTGAAATTCCTTAAGGAAGGATCAGTCCTCATATAAGTACAAAAGAAGATTAGAATTTGGTAGAATTTGTTCATTTGATTTGCCTTAGTTTCTTCATCTATTAGATGGAGATAATAATAGAACCTCCTGCATAGGGTTTTTATGAGGTTTAAATGAATTAATGCATTTAAGTTGTTTAGCACAGTACCTGGTACATGGTAAGCACCCAAAGAATGTTAGCTGCTAATGTTATTGTGTTTTTTGTACTTTCTCCATCTCCATAATCTTCCATATCAAATATAGATTGATACCGTTAAGTTTTTGAAATTTTTATTTATAAAATTTTTTTGTAGAAACAAGGTCTTGCTGTGTTGCCCAGGCTGGTCTTGACTCCTGGCCTCAAGCAATCCTCCCGCCTTGGCCTCCTGAAGTGTTGTGATTACAGGCATGAGCCATGATACTGTTAATTTTCTTATTTCTGATCTTGTATCAGTGAGATACTTTATAATAAAATTATTAAGTAACATCAGAAGTAGTTTATTTTTTTTGCCTCTGAAATAACCTTTATCTTCTTGTGCAATGATTATACTTTATATGTGACTGTTAAAGTTAAGTGCTTGTTTTAGAATGGTGTAGAATGTGTCATTTGATTGGAATGTGTCATTTGATTGTTTTTTTTCCCCCACAGCAATACAAGTTTTTGCGCTTTAGGAGATCTCTGCTCTTACTAGTGAAGCATAGTTGTGTGGAATCACTGTTCCTGATTAGAAATTTCTGCATTGTTTATTACTTTCTTGGTAAGAATTTCTTTTTATTTTTAATACAGTATTAGCTCATACCTTAGAAAATGTCAGTTACCTCAGAAAATGTCAGTTACAAAGTCATTCTTGATTGTGTTTGCTTGCTTCCTAAATTTGTGGGTAGGTATGTGATTAACCTAACTGATTCATTGTTTAAACTGTCAAAGAGAATTTATTTAGTTAAGGGAAAATATTGTTAAAGAAAATGTGGCCGGGCTCGGTGGCTCAGCCTGTAATCCCGCGCCTTTGGGAGGCTGAGGTGAGTGGATTGCCTGAGCCCGTGGGTTCGAGACCCGCCTGGGCAGCGAGACCTCATCTCTACAATAAATCAAAAAATCAGCGGGGCGTAGTGGTGCATGCCTGTAATTACAGCTACTTGGAAGGCTGAGGCGGAAGGGTCGCTGGAGCCCAGCAGGCCGAGGCTGCCACTGCACTCCAGTCTGGGCGACGGAGTGAGACTCCGACTCAAAAAAAAAAAAAAAAAAGAAAATGTGATGTATACATCTAAAGAAATATTGTTCAATCTTTAAAACATGAGTAAACCTTGAGGACATTGCACTGAGTGAAATAAGCTAGACACAAAAAAAAATCACATACTGTATGATTCCACTTATATGAGGTATATAGAATGGTGAAACTTAGAAGGGGAATAGTGGTTGCTAGGGGCTAGAGAGATGGAGAATTGTTCAGTAGGTACAGAGTTTCAGTTTTGCGATATGAAAAAGTTCTAGAGGTCTGCTGCACAATGATGTATATGTGATAACACTACTGGCCAGGCTCGGTGGCTCAGCCTGTAATCCCAGCACTTTGGGAAGCCAAGGTGAATGGATTGCTTGATCCCAAGGGTTCGAGAGCAGCCAGGCAACTTGGCAAGACCTCGTTTCTATAATCAAAAATTAGCCAGGCGTGATAGCATGCACCTGTAGTTCTGGCTGCTTGGAAGGCTGAGGCAGAAGGATTGCCAGAGCCCAGCAAGTCGACGCTGGGGTGGCCGCAAGTGTGCCGTGACACTCCAGCCTGGGTGATGGAGTGAGACTCAAACTCAAAAAATAAAAATAAAATAAAAAGTAACACTACTGTACTGTGCAGTTGAAAATGATTAAGTTGGTAAATCTTATATTTTTTGCCACAATAAAAAAAGTATTCTTTTTTAAAAAGTAAGAAAAGAAAATATAGTATATCGTTTGGTCATTTCTCTATCTAGAAATAATTTATTCCTTTTCATACATTGTAACTTGATACTAATACACTAAATATCCTGTTGGTAAGAGAACCTCGTGGAATTTATTAACCCGAGTTTAAAGCACAAAAATGCAGTTTATTATTTAATATAATGAATAGTACAAGTTGGAAACATGAATCTCATTGGCATATATAGTAATTTAAACAAAATCCAACTTTCAGAAATACTCTTTTCTCTTTTTTTGAGTTGGAGTCTCACTCTGTCGCCCAGGCTGGAGGGCAGTGGCCGCTCCTGGCCACCGCAACTTTGGCCTGCTGTGCTCCGGCGATCCTTCCACTTCAGCCTTCCAAGTAGCTGGAACTACAGGCGCACACTACTGCGCCCGGCTAATTTTTTGATTTATTGTAGAGATGAGGTCTCGCGAAGTTGCCCAGGCAGGTCTCGAACCCGCAGGCTCAGGCAATGCGCTCACCTCAGCCTCCCAAGGCGCGGGATTACAGGCTGAGCCACCGAGCCTGGCTACAAGCTAGCATTTTTGTTTTTGTTTTTTTTTTTGACTGAGGTCTTGGTGACTATGTGGCCTTTTCACAGACGCCATATTTAAAGCATTGTTAAGATTTGATTTTTAACTTTCTGTGTTTACAGCTCAGTATTTTCCCCCTTAGGCCATATTCCCAAAGCTTGGATCAGCACTGCTATGGACCTTCACCTAGATGAGTAAGTGATAGAGAAGTCATTTTAACTATTTTCATCCTTTTAGATGTTTGCTGTTTTCCAGCTGCTTTGTTTAGATTTTGCCTTTGAATTAAAAAAAAAAATTGTGTTTACTTTTGAATACACATAGTTTATATATTTAACTAAATTCCAAAGGTATATAAAATGGTATACAGTGAAAAAAGACACAGTCTCTGTCTCTGGTCACCTAGTTGCTCTCCCCAGAAGTAAGCAGTGATAATCCATTTTTTTTGTTGTTACATACAGCTTTTATCCTATATAGAAGTGGACTTCTCAAGTTTCATGGACCATGCTTCTGTTTTGTTTTTCTCTTCAACAGTCATGCATTCTGTGGTATCTCGTGGTATATACAAATGCTGTGGCATTATTCTTACGTTGCCTGTGAGGAAACCTGAATTGAGCAAGGCCAGGTGACCAGTTGAGGGTCACAGTAGCAATTGAGTGACAGCACTGGGATGTATTCTCATTTTCTCCTGGGTACTTTGCACATAAAGGTTTAATCTATATTTGTTGAATAAAAGTCACTTTCTCTCCGCATTTGTTCTTTTAATTATTGGTTATTCCACTATAATACTTTCTGTATTACATGTGGAATTCATTAATACCAGTTTTAGGGAGTGGGAATGTTGGCAATATGTGGGTATTTAAGAGATATTATGGTTTCTCACTTTTCAAAATTTCTAGGTATAATTTAGTTTTGTCTTAGGCTTAATTGCTAGGTATGACACCAAATGCATTGGTTATTTATTACGTTAGCCCAGATTTTAAACTGGGTCAAATGGAATGAGAAAAATACTAATGGTATCTGCTGGTAATTTAACACAATCCTTTTCTCCTTCTTTCAATGCAAAGAACTGTTTTGTTTGTATGGCCAAGTGCCTGATATCTGTCCTTCATTTATGTCAGGGCCTCAGTAAATGTTTACTTAGAAGTTAAAAATAATTGACATCTACTCCCCCGTGAATGTCAAGCACTGTGCTGGGCATTCCTAATGTAAGCTCTTTTAAATGTGGTAATAGTCCTGAGAGAAAGAATGTAGAGATTATGTTGCTATTATATGGGTGAGGAAACTGAGGGTGGGGTAGGCTGAGTGATTTACTTAATGCCCACATTTATATATGGCAGAGTCAGAGGTTCAAATCCTGGTTTTCACAATGGCTAACTGTAGGGTTATAATGACTTTACTAATTGGTATCATCAAGGTTTTGTTAAAATGGCAGTGTTAGCTTTATTTAGTATTCTAACTGCTTCTTTAATTTTTTTTTTTTTTTTTGAGTGGGAGTCTCACTCTGTCACCAAGGCTGGAGTGATCCTTCTACCTCAGCCTTCCAAGTAGCTGGAATCACAAGCGCATACCACCACACCCAGCCAATTTTTTTGATTTATTGTAGAGATGAAGTCTCATCAAGTTGCCAAGGCTGGTCTTGAACCCTGGACGCAGACAATCCTCTTGATTCCACTTCTCAAAGTGCTGGGAATACAGGCATGAGCCACTGCACCCAGCTTAAATTACTTAACAGTAAAGACCATTATTTTAGTAGCATATGCTTTTAACTACTATGAAACTGTGGTTTATAGGATATACAGATAAAGCTGAAATCTGTTCAGGAGAGGTACTAGTCATGTTTCATGGTTTTTAGGTATTAAACTACAAAACAACAATAATCAACTTTCACCCAGCTTATAGGCTTGGCTCACACTTCCTTCTTAGTGAATGGCAGTGAAGATTTGGAACACAAGAAACTGGAGTGCCAGTTCAGGTCTGCATGTCCCTTCAGGCTCCCTTACAAACCTCATTAGAAGGTGTGAAGGAAGGCTGGGCTTGGTGGCTCAGCCTGTAATCCCAGCACTTTGGGAGGCTGAGGCGAGTAGATTCCCTGAGCCCATGGGTTCGAGACCAGCTTGGGCAACTTGGCGAGACCTCGTCTCTACGATAAATAAAAAATTAGCTGGGTGTGGTAGCGTGCTCCTGTGGTTCTGGCTTCTTGGAAGCCTGAGGCGGAAGGATCGCTGGAGCCCAGTGGGTCAATCCTGGGGTGGCCGTGAGCATGCCACTGCACTCCAGCCTGGATGACAGAGTGAAACTCTAACTCAAAAAAAAAAAGAAGGTGTGGGGGAAATAATTCTAAGGGCACAAAAGGAGAAGAGTCTACAATATTATTTATGTTTTTTTGTTTTTTTTTTTTGAGTTGGAGTCTCACTCTGTCGCCCAGACTGGAGTGCA